GCCGCATAGGAAATGCCACTACCTATTAATCATGCCTCTCAGCAAGGTGCCTGCAGCTGTGTGTTTTTGGGCAAGTTGCTTACCTCTCTGTGCTTCCTCTGGAGAGGCTTGTGGGCAGGACCTGATACACGAAGGTGTGCAGAATGCTCACTCCACAGTCAGTCCTCAACACACAAAGCAGATGCTGTCAGCACCCCGCTCCCACACCCTGAACCCCTTGAGGGGAGCTGGGGCACTTTCCTTGCTCACCAGCCCCACCTCCTTGACTATCCAGGAGGTGCAGACTTTCTGGGGATGCTTGGCAGGTTCGATCAAGGCATTCTTGAGTAAACATACAATAACTGCTTTTTTCCAAAGACTCTAGTTTTCCAAGAACACCCCCCAACCCCAGTGCATTCTCATCCCTTGGGAGTAGTCGTCCTGGGGTGCAAGGAGGTGAATTTACCATGCATTCCAGCTCAAGGGACCTAGGTCTCCCTAGCCAGGGCCCTTGCACATGTGCACATCTATCCCCGTGGACCTTGAGGGCACAGACCCAGGTCCACAGTTTGTGGGGAACACTGAATCTGGCACAATAGTTTTCTAAGTGAAAGTCACTCAGTTGTGTCTGACTCTTTGCAACCCCATGGACTATACAGTCCATGGAATTCTCCAGGCCAGAATACTGGAGTGGGCTGCCATTTACTTCTCCAGGGGATCTTCCCAACTCAGGGATCGAACCCGGGTCTCCTTAATGCCTGACCTACCAGGGAAGTTTTCTAAGATCACTTACTATGTGCCCAGCGCCGGGGACACAGTAATGACCAAGATTAACAAAATCCCACATGGAGAGGCTGGGGGGGCATGGCATACAGTAAACTGCACATGATGAGAGCAGCAAGATAACAGAAGTGATGATGGAGAGGTGGAGGCCTCTCTCAGGATGTGACATTCGAGCAGAGGCTCAGTGAGGGGAGGGTGTGAGGATCTCAGAGAAGGGCATCCCAGGAAGAGCTCAGCAGGTAGAAATGTTCCAAGGCGGAACCCTGATTGGAGCTTCTGAGAAACAGCCAAGAGCCTCCTGCAGTTGGAACGTCCCTAAACGCCCACCCAACACCCTGTCCCTCCTGGCTCTGCCCGGCAAAGCCAGAACCCGAGACCCTGAGATGTGATCAATGTCCCCTCCCCCGAGACACAAGCCTGCATCACTCCATCATGATCGTCATCATCACTCCCTCTCAGCAGCTCAGACCCCCACCCCGGGCACCGTAGGCATCCACCGGTCCCAGCCTGGGATGTTCTGAAACTCTCCCGAATCCTGAGGCACAAAACCTGCCCTGCCTGGACCTCTTGAGATGCCCAAGGACCCATGCTGACTTACTAACCAGCTGTGTGGGGCACAACCATCTGATGACCTTTCCCAGGAGCCCTGGAGAAATGCTTTCTGGAGAATCAGCCGTGGAGAATCGCTAAGTGCCAACAAAGGTAACCCAGCTCACTCTAGGGTGGGTGTGTGTGTGTGTGTGTGTGCGCGCTTAGTTGTGTCCAACTCTTCTGTGACACCATGGACTGTAGCCCACCAGGCCCCTCTGTCCATGGAATTCCCAGTCAAGACTACTGTGGGTTGTCATTTTCTCCTCTGGGGGATCTTCCCGACCCAGGGATCGAACCCCCATCTCCTGCATTGGCAGGCAGGTTCTTTACCACTGGCACCGCCCGGAAACGGTGAGCTAGTTACACCCCAAGGCTTTCTCGCCACTGCTAGAGGCAGGAAGGAGCCGGAGAGAAACCAGGAGCTGCTGCAGGAACAGCAGGAGGTAAAGGCTGCACCCAGCGGACAGACCGAGGAGGTCACAGTGCTTGGAGAGGAGGCCGAGGACAGGAGGGAGCCCACAGACAGAACTGAGACCCAGCCCCACCTTGGGGTTGCAGAGAGAGGCCTCAGAGGACGTGGCTGAGAGGTGCGAGCTCTGGGTGGGCCCCGGAAGTGAGCAAAGGGGCCCAGAGTCGAGGCTTCCTAGTTTTCACAGGTCATGAGCCCAGCCCCCTGTCCAGCTGACAGATGAGGAGAGGAGGAGGGGACTGGGGCTCAGAGAGGGCAAGCAATCTCCCCAGGGTCACCCAGCAGAAAGAAACTCCACACACAGGCTCTGGCTTGGGGTTTGAGTCCTAGCTCCCTTCCTTACAAACTGTGTGCCCTTGCGGGAGGTGGGGGAGGGCACACAGCCAAGCCTCAGATTCCTCCTCTTAAAAATAGGGATCATGCAGCACCCTCCCTTCCTGCGGCTGATTCGGGTAAGAAATTAGACAGCACAGGGCAAACCGCAGCCATCCCATCGGGGTGATAAGAGTACCAGTGACAACACCCCTCACCCCCCCAACACGTGCCAGCAGCTTCCTAAGCACTTAGCATGAACCAACGCATCTAATCTTCACGCAAGCCAACGCATCTAATCTTCATTGTGAGCCTGATGGTACCTGACACTGCCCACCTTTCACAAATGAGGGGATTGAGGCAGCCGGGTTAAGCCACCCAGTGTAATTCACACGGCTACTAAGGGGCACAAACGGATCAAACCCAGGACAGCCAGTACTCCGAGTCTGTGCTCTCTTTCCTTTTCAGATCACTGTGAGGAGCAGACTCATTAGAAAAGATCCTGATGCTGGGAAAGATCGAAGGCAAAAGGAGAAGGAGGCGGCAGAGGATGAGATGGTTAGACAGCATCACCGACTCGATGGACATGAGTTTGAGCAAACTCCCAGAGACAGTGAAGGACAGAAGAGCTTGGTATGCTGCAGACCATGGGGTCACAAAGAGTCAAACACGACTTAGCGACTGAACAAGATTCATGTACAGCTGTAAGAAACAATATAGTTGGATCGCGTGGACCCTTTGGCCAGCTTCCTCTAATGGCATCATCCTTATAATACCTGCAACCTGGAAACTGACATTGATGTAACTGATCTTATTCAGATCTCGGGGATTTACATGCACTCACTGTGTGTGTGTGTGTGTGTGTGTGTGTGTGTGTGTGTGTGTGTAGATTTATGCACTTTTATCTCAGTGTAGATTCCTGTGGCCACTGCAATTGAGGCAAGACAGTTCTACCAAAAGGGGTTCTTGTGCGACCTCTGGTCTGAACCACCACACGTGACTGTCTTTCTCAGTGGATAGGGGATCGGGTCACTGAGACCTTCAAGACAGGGCAGGGACAGTACAGTTCTGTGGCTGACCCACGCAGCTACCAAGAGCTTACGGGCAGCAAGGGGACATTCATGGGGTCCCCTGCTGCACCAGCCTTTCCTGAGGTCCCCACAAGAGGCCTGAGGACAATCGGACAGCGGGCAGCTGGCAAGGGCAGCCTGGACACCCGGGGAAGTCCCTGCTGGCTCCCGCTGGCCCCAGAGGAGAGGGCCTGAGCCAGCCACCGGCCCAGCATCCGGTGTCACTTACAAACACAGGACAGTTGCCACCCTCGGCAGGAGAGCCAGCCGTGTGTGCCCTGCCCCCAGGCCACACCAACCGCTGTTGGGGTGCCTGGCCCAGTCTTGGTGGGAGACGGGGCAGAAACAGACATACATGGGATGTGAAGGGTACCCAGGGATCCCAGCCCAGGTCCAAATGCAGACTGAGCCTGGGGCTGAGGAGGGACCCTTCTTAACTCGCTGGGGCTTCATATCCATAAAATGGGGGGGCTCTCAACAGGGAAAAGACAAACCAATGGAGTCCAAGATGTATTAGTAACTAACTTAAATGCAACCTTGTGGTCTACACTTACAGACTCTCTCCACATCAGCCCACTCGAGGCCCCGGCCGGTGCATCTCTGTTTTCCCCAAAGTACCTCTGTGGGCAGCTCTCCATGGATGGATAGGAGAACCGAGGCTCTGTGGGGTTCCATGACCTGCCCAAGATCACCCTATCCATGAGAGGTGGGGCAGGAACCATTCACTAGCCCCCTTAAAGCCATTCAACAACTTAGGGATGGAGACAGATGGAGCGTCCATTTGCCAGATAGGAAAACTGAGGCTCAGAGCTGTGAAGTGACTGGTCTAAGGTCACACAGCTGGGATATGAACCCAGGCAGTCTGGCAACAGAGCAAAGCAGGTACCTCATCCTCACACCCCCATCATGGTCCCATTTGACAGGCAAAGAAACTGAGGCTCACACTGGGAGGCCCAGTGTAAAAAGGGCCGGAGCCAGGATTCAAACCCGGGTCCGCAGGCACCAAGCTCCGCTGTCTGGAAACTCAGCCCTCCCTGGCCTGTGCTCACACGCCCTACGAGACGGCCCACTGCCTCCCAACAGCCCCGGCGCACCCAGACCTCAGGACAAATCGCTCCCTCATCCCCTTCACTTGCAACTGAAGGCTCCTTGTGAGCTCAGGAAGCCCTTCCAACTTTCCAGTGTTTATCCCGGCTCCTCTCTGCCAGGTCCCTGGGCAAGCCTGGGCCGGTGGCGCTGATTTCAAACCAGACACAGGCACCCAGCCAAGCGCCACCGCGGTGGGAGCCGGGCGCCAGGGCAGCCAAGGCACTGCCTGCACCTGGCCCCCTCCCCTGCTCCACGGCCACTGAGGCGCCCGCCCCCCAAATCCCCAGGCCCCCAGCCCACCCCCGGGGCCAACACCGATGAATGGATGCCAGATCCCTGGTCCTGCCTGCTTCCCTGCGGGGATGAGGCACAGGGGCTCCAGAAAGAGCAGCACCACCCCCCATCCCACGCATCCACTCCAGGGGGCAGCCTGTCCTTCTGGGGCACCCGCCCACCCAGCACCCATTCTGGGGCTTCAGCCACTCTGATAAGGCATTGGGGGCCACTACCTCCTGATGGCCAGCCTCTCCAGACAGACCCAGGGAGCCAGAATGTGAAACCATCAGCCCCCATACAGGGCCCCCATCCCACGTCCAGGTCCTCCTACAAACTGTGGCCCCCAGTCTCTCTGCCCACCCTTCCTCGGCCGGGTGACCGGGCCACGCCGCATCTCCCTGCCCACCACCAAGCCCGGAAACTGCTCTTACCCAAGCACATGACCAGCCTCTGTCTCGCTCACGTCAGCTCCAAACACAACTTGAAGTAACTCTCCCACAAAAAACCAAAAAAAAGAAAAGAAAAAGAAAGAAGTAGAAGGTGCCAGCAAGTGGGTCAGCAGAGTCCACACACACAGACTGCGCTGTTGGCTTCCAGAGGACACATGGCGTCCAACCTCAAACCCATCCTTCCTCCGGGGCTGACCCAGGAAGAGAGGCGACCCCACCGAGCAGCCACGCTTGCCTTCCCGCGAGACTGCGGGCTCCCACCCTGGCTCGGGGATGGGGTGGGGGGGCCTGCAGCCAACCCGGCCCCCCAGGCTCCCGGCCCGATACCCCCCTTAGATGGGGCGAGCAGAGCACCCCCCCTCCCCAGGGACAACCCACGGGGCCACCTGACCCACAGCAGGGTGAAAACGCGGTGTTGGGCCACAGGATCCCTGCTTGCCTCCTGCCACTCCGGGCCTATAAACACAGGGAATTACATAAGTCCACTCCTCTTGTTGGGAAGCCAAAAGTACGAGCTTTCTCTCCCAGCCTTGGCAGTAAGTAATAATTCCTCATCGCCATGGTAACCCTGGCGGGCTTCCAGCCGACACTCGGGAGCTGAAACACGGGGAGGCCTTTTTATAGCTCGGTAGAAAAACCTCCTCACTGTTCACCGCTCCCAGGCAAAAGCGAGCTCCCCGCCGGCGTCTCCTCCTCAACCCAGTCTCCCCCGCCGAGCTGGACCATCCACCCAGAGAGCAGCATGGCTGCCCCGACCCGGACCCAGCATGAACTGACGCCTCTACTCCCATCCCTTCTCGGCCCTCCGGTCTCCAGGGTGACATGCACTGGGCAGGCTCTGCCTTTAAAATATTTCTGTCCTTGTCATCCCAGGAAAAGCAAACATGACCCCTTCACATTGGCATTCTGAGCCAGGGTCATCACAGCTGACAGGCCCTGAGGGTTAAAAAAGATACAGTCACACACACACACACCAGACACACACACTCACACGCACGCATGCACACTGGCCAAAATGGGTAACTTGATGGTCAGCCAGGGGTCTGGATCTTGGCTGCAGCTAGCCGCGTGACTCAGAGACAAGTCTGAGCTTCTCTGGGTGTCAATTTCCCCTCTGCAGCCGGGCAGGCTCCTCTCAGCTTCCCCGGTGCCCTGAGCAACAGCAACGAGGTGTCAGGAGAAGATCCAGAGGGATTTCTAGATTCGCTCCCCTGCCCCCAGCAGCCAGGAGTCGGGCCCAACGCTGTTAGCCCGAGATGGCATCCTGAGTGATGCGAAGGGCTGCCTCAGGATACGGATGAGGGGAAAGGCGGTGTAGGCAGGAGGTGCAGCAAGGACAAGGTCTGGAGGCCGGATCGACTTGGGTGCGTCGCAAAAGCAGAGAGGAAACTGATGTGGCCAAGTCCAGCAGGGATGTGGCGACGGCATGAGAATTCAAGGTCAGAGAGTGGCGGGAGAGAAGTAGGGGAGGGAGAGCATGAGAATTCTGGGCAAATCACCTAACTCCCCGGACTGCAGACACCCCAGAAAGTAATGATGATGATGAGGGGACCTCCCTGGTGGTCCAGTGGCTAAGACTGCATTCCCAGTGCAGGGGGCCCAGGTTCAATCCCTGGTCAAGGAACTAGACCCCACATGCCGCAACGAAAAAAAAAAGATCCTGCCAACTAAGACTAGGTGCCGTCAAAACAAAAAAAAATTTTAAATAATGATGACGATAGTAATAGCAACTCATCCTGGATCCCAAGCGCTTTGTAAGCACTTCAGTTAACCCATCTGTCCTCAGGACAACACAACAAAAGACAGGGGCACCCTATATACTAAGAAGGAAACGGGCCCAGAGAGGTTAACTGGCTTGCCCAAGGTCACACAGCTGGGAAGTGGCTGAACTGAGGTTTGAACGGTGCAAATCTGGCTTGCATCCACCAGCGGAGAGCCATAGAGGGTTTGCAGCAGATCAGATTTGCATGTGACAAAGGTTTGTGGCCACTGAACCAGCTGAGGGGCCAGAACAGCCACTAGGAGACCCCCTGAAGAGACCCACGGGAAGGCCACGTGTGTGCCGACCCTCATCAGCTCACCCTTCAGCCTCTCCCAAGAAAACACTCCGGAGGATTATGGAAGAATTCGGCAGATCTGCTTTCTTTTATTGGTGGGGAAACCGAGGCACAGAAAGATGTGAGCGATTGAATGCTGTATTTTTAAACCAAAGATCCCACCCATCCACTCTCTCCCTGACCATCAGAGGATCTCAAGAGCAAGCCAAACTAGCCCCACCAAAACATAGGCAGGCGGTGGAGCCCGAAGCAGCCAGGTCAGAAAGCATGGGTTCCTTTTGTTCTTTTCTGTTTGTTTTGGACACAGACCTGCCCCCAGACTTTCTCAGAGGCTGGCCCTGGAATCAGGAGTAACACCCCAAACCCCCACCAGAGGGATTTATGCTTCGGGCAGGTTCAAAGCTAGGCCAGGTCATTCCACGGTCACTTCTTGTTTCTGCTCTACAAGGAGCCAGGGAACGAAAATGGTTTGCTGAGTGACTCTGTGAAGATGGGAAATCATCATAGACCAGAAACAGCCCCAGGCAGCCCCCTCGAGATAGAGCCAGCCACCAAAACCAAACTCATGTTCAGAATATGTTAGTGTGTGGCCGTCTGCTTAGCAAGAGAAGTCCTCATTCCCCAAGACTCTGATGGCGAGCATCCCTCGGTGTTCTAAAAAACCAAGATTCACCAGCATGTACTTCTAGAAACCTGTCTGCGGGCAAAGCTTTGGACGATGGAAAAGATCAGTGACATTACAGAACATACAGTGATGGGGACCACAGAAGCAGGAGGGGTCCCTAGGCCGAGTGGCCCTGGGCAAGATCTCAGTCTCTGCAGACATCCGTCTGCTCAGCTGTGAAATGGGGGCACACCTGTCTGCTGCCTCTGTTAGGGTCAGCAGAAACTACATCTGTTTTGGGAGGAGCCTCAGGAGACCAGAGGGGACCCGTGGTCATGGCTCCCATTCAGCCTTCAGTCCCGGGTGGAAGGGATCCTTGCTCACTCCCTCTCCTCGTGGCTGCTTCCTGATCCAGCCAGGCTCTAAGATAAGGTTGGGAGCAGATCGGGGGCTGGGGGAAAAGAAAGAGAAAAACGAGTTAGAAACATCTGGCTGGGACTTCCCTGGGGAGCGCAGTGGATGAGAACCTGCCTGCCAATGTGGGGGACACAGGTTCGGTCCCCGGTCTGGGAGGATCCCACGTGCTGAGAAGCAGCTAGGCCTGTGCGCCACAACTACTGAAGCCCGCATACCCTATAGCCCATGCTCGGCAGCAAGAGAAGCCGCCGTGATGAGAAGCCCTCACACCCCAACTACAGAGCAGCCCCGCTTGCTGCAACTAGAGAAAGCCAGCACACAGCGATGAAGACTCAGCGCAGCCAAAAACAAACAAATTAAACTTTTAAAAAAAAAGAAACATCTGGCTGTTTTTACCTCCTCCTTTCCTTTCCTGAAGCCCAGCGCTCCCAGATTTGGGTGGGTGACTGCTGATCAACTACTCAGAAGGTGACTTTGTGGATGTCCATCCATACAATGTGATATTCTTCAGCCGGAGAAAGGAATGAAGTACTGAGTCATGCAGCCACGTGGACGAACCTCGAAAACATCATGCCCGGGGCCAGAAGTCAGACATGAAAGGTCACATTTTGTATGATCCCATTTATAGGAAATGTCCAGAGCAGGCAAATCCAAAGAGACAGAAAGCTCTGTCTGCCTGGTGGCTGCCAGGATTTGCGAGGAAGAAGGGTGAGAGTGCCTGCTGATGGGTTCAGAGGCTCCTTACAGGGTGATGGAGCTGTTTTAGAATTAGAAGTATTGGTTGTACAACAGTGTTTACATACTAAACACCAATGAGTCATGCACCTTTTTTTGGCTGCACCACAAGATATGTAGGATCTTAGCTCCTCGACCAAGGATCGAACCAGTGTTCCCTGCAGTGGAAACAGACTCGATCACTGGACACCAGGGAAGTCCCTGAACTGTGCACTTTCAAATGGTAAATTTTACATGATGTGAATTTCGTCTAAATTCAAAATAAATAAAAAGATGGTTTGGTTGAACAGACTCCACTCCAATCCAGTTTACTGACCTTCTGAAAGCTGTGCCCACCTCTAAGAGTCCGTGACCCCAGGCCTGGAGACACCAGACATTTAGGGAGCCCCGGTGATACACACCAGGCACAAAGAATACAGCAGGAACAAGAAAAGGATCCCTGCCCCCATGGGGGTGACTTGGGAAAAGGTGAGGAAGTCAGCAACAGAAAAGATGTGATGACATCAAGGAACGGTAGCAGCTATGGACGGGTGGTTTCTGGGGAGGTGACAGTTCAACAGTGGCCTGGATGGAGTAAGAGAGAGAGATGTGGAAACTTCTCAGGGAACAGTGTCCCAAGTCAACCAAACAGCCAGGGCAGAGGCCCTGAGGCTGCTGTCCTCGGTGAGTTCCGGGAGCAGCCAGGAGCCTGCAAAGCGTGGCAGGGGAGGTGGGCCTGGAGGGATCAGGTAGGGCTTCACAGTCCACAAACAGATCTCTAAGTGTGATTTACATAAAATCCAGGCAGATGAATGAATAAAGAAGCTGTAGCACATATGTAATGGAGTATTACCCAGCCATCAAAAGGAATGAAACAGAGTCATTTGCAGTGATACGATGAATATGGAGTCTGTCATACAGAATGAAGTCAGAAAGAGGAAAACAAACATCGTATATTAACGCATATATATGGAAGTCTAGAAAAATGGCACTGATGAACCTATTTGCAGGGTAGGAATAGAGACGCAGACATAAAGAACAGACACAGTGAGGTGGGTGCAGGTGAACTGAGAGAGGATGAACTGAGAGGGTAGCACCGACATGTATACACTCCCACGTATAGTAGATGCTCGAGCATTTTAAAGAAACCATCCCCCCCCCAAAAAAAAGAAAAGAAACCATCCCTTCCCCCAAGAGCTCCCCACCCAGGCTGAGCCAGACGAGAACAGACCCCAAAGAACCCAGACACCCTTCCCTGAAAGCGGGATCCATGAGCCACTCATAGGCAGCTGGCAGGAAGGGGGCCTCCCTGAGGGGGAGACTTCCCCAGACCAAAAGCACTGTACTTCATCATTTCTTCCAGGCACAAAAGCATCATGT